CGGTGTCTGACGTACAATCCTGTGCAATAACCAAGTAAAAAAAGCACAGGTTGTTACATAAGACCCGTGGAATAAAACATATAATCTTGGACGTTGTTATGAACATGGAATAGGTGTTAAAAAATATATAAATGAAGCATTCAAATATTATCAAAAATCAGCAGAAATGGGACATGCTGATGGAATATATAATGTTGGACGTTGTTATGAAAATGGAATAGGGGTTAAAAAAGATGAACACGAAGCATTCATTTATTATCAAAAATATGACGACAACGGAAATGCAATTGGAATTTATAATCTTGGACGTTGCTATGAAAATGGAATAGGAGTTGAAAAGAATATAAAGAAGGCATTCAAATATTATCAAAAATCAACAGAAATGGAACAAGCTGATGGAACATACAATCTTGGAGATATAAAGAAGGCATTCCAATATTATCAAAAATCTGCAGATATGAAACATACCGATGGAATATATAATGTTGGACGTTGTTATCAATACGGAATAGGAGTTGAGAAAGATATAAAGGAGGCGCTTGAATATTATCAAAAATCTGCATATATGGGACATGTAGATGGAATATATAATGTTGGACATTTCTATGAAAATGGAATAGGAGTTGAAAAAGATATAAAGGAGGCGTTTGAATATTATCAAAAATCTGCAGATATGGGACATACTGATGGAATATATAATGTTGGACGTTGTTATGAAAATGGAATAGGAGTTGAAAAAAATAAACATAAAGCATTCGAATATTATCAAAAATCTGCATATATGGGACATGTAGATGGAATATATAAAGTTGGACATTGGTATGAAAATGGAATAGGTGTTGAAAAAGATATAAGGAAGGCATTCAAATTTTATCAAGAATCTGCAGATATGGGACATATAGATGGAATATATAATCTTGGACGTTGTTATGAAAATAGAATAGGAGTTGAAAAAGATATAAAGGAGGCGTTTGAATATTATCAAAAATCTGCAGACATGGAACAAGCTAATGGAACATATAACCTTGGACGTTGTTATCAGAATGGAATTGGAACAGAAAAGATTATAAGTTCCAATTGCATTTCCGTTGTCGTCATATTTTTGATAATAAATGAATGCCTCGTGTTCATCTTTTTTAACACCAATTCCTTTTATATAACAATATCCTACTTGATTTATTCCATCATAATGTCCCATTTCTGCAGATTTTTGATAATATTTGAATGCTTCATGATCATTCTTTTTAGTTCCAATTCCATTCTGGTAACAACGTCCAACATTATATATTCCATCTATATGTCCAATATCTGCTGATTTTTGATAATATCTTTTTCAACTCCGATTCCATTTTCATAACAATATCCTTCCCAAATATCATTGCTTAATTTCAACTTCTTACAAGTATCATTGCATCTATGTTTTGCCAAAAAACATTTTTGAATTCCACTCTTTCCTAAGTTTGTTGTTCCAAATCAATACAATGTATGGCTGGATCTGTTAACAAGAACTCATTATGGAAATCGGCACCTTGTAAGTCATAAACTACCAAATATCCTTCAGTGTATTGATACGTGAAATGAGCAAATGCCTCGAGAATGGAATGAAACTCTGTAATTAGACCACTATTCACGTTAAATTTTTTAAATTCTGCATTATTAATATATTCTTCTACAGAGTAATAAGTATTATCTGTCCCATTATATAAGACTTTTACATCAATAAATGTAACCTTTTTATTAACACCAACCCGTTCTGCGGCTATATTGAATTTTGTTGATAAAAAATCAGCAACATTAGAAATTTCCACTGATTCTAAATACATTTCTATTGTGCCTTTTTTAATATTATGGTACTTTTTTACCACTAATTTATTAGCTCGTTCAGGACTTGTATCAAATGCGAAATAGGCATATCGTTCAGCACCGGCGGAGAACGGTTGCGGTGCAAGCTTAAAAGATATATCTTGCTTAGTAAAGCTTGACTTGATAAAATAATCTTTATCTTTAACTTCAGCCAGAGTTTTAGGTGGAATATAACATAAAAGCTTTCCTGTTTTCTCTGGATGAGCAGTCCAATCAGGTTCGTTTGGATTGATTTGAAGTTTTTTTCGTTGCAAAGAGTATATGCTTTCCGAGTTTCTTAAAGTTGTGGTTAGTGTAATAGAAGAAAAGATGGATGAATAAGTAGCCTTGCAAAATTTATTGACTAATAACTCTGGATTGTATCCCCGTAGTCATAAGATCAAATACAGGAAAACTTCCAATTATTTCACGAAATACATTAACCATAACATCAGTAGAATCATTAATTTTTCCAAAGTAGTATAAAATGTTTTTTAATTGCATTTTCTTTAGCACATTTTCTGCAGTCAGACCATTCGGGTCACCGTCCGGATAATTGTCACGATACACGTATTTGGTAGTATAAAAACGACGACCATGTGGTGGCGCATCGCCAATATGAATAAGAACACGGGTGGCATTGCTCCATGTCATCTGAGTTA